GTTGTTTTTAGTGATATTTGGCTCATCTTTGGTAATCACTTGATTGCTTCCATCCAAAGAACCTTCACCTGCATTCAAAAGGTGAATTCTTTAGCACTGGATGACACTTGTCAGATGGTAGAAAACCTTGGTAAAAAATCGAACTTAAAAAATGAGTTTCACTGTAAGTAGTGGCATTCCACATCAACAAAGCCATAGGAAAAGGATACCATCTATTTAGCTGTCCAAAGAACTCTTCGAGGCAGAGACGAGTTCCTGCTTAGTACCTTTGGCAGGAATCCCCATATTCCTACAAATTCAAAAAATAACAATAAAGCAAGGCATGCTGCTGAAAATTACTGGATAGTGTATTATACGAGTAGATAAACATTACATCACTCCTGTAGGACAAAGGAACCAATGTGGGAATAAAGCAATCAGTTGGTGCAAAGATACCAAATATCAGTATTACACCCAAATAGATCCCTGCAGCCACCTTAGAAGGAACCACAACAGCTCCAGGACATTTTATCTGTCACGATAAGCATACAGGTCCAGTTCTTTATTTTTATTATTTTTTATTTTTTATTTTTTTCCCTAATAACAGTAAGGCCTATGGAAATGAATTGTGCTAAGAATTTTATTAGCAGGAAATCATCTTAGATATTGGTAGGAAAACCTGTTAAAATTAATACATGCACAAGTCTCTTTACATTCGAGAAGTAAAAAATTCAGATTGCCTCACCCGAGTTGTCTATATTTGGGTAAAAAAATCTTAAGATTACCTCCCTGATATCCAAAAAAAGAAGTGAACTCATATTGCAGAAAATTCAAAATTTCTGCCCCCTTTGAACACTCAAACAACCATATAATAGTGGAAAAATAAATTAAATACATTTTAGCCAGGAGAGCAGAACATTTACCTCAATTTCGATCTCAGCTGTTGAACTGTCATTTCCTCTATATTCTTGGAATCATCCCCAAGAAGCTCGCTTTCCTTGACAATGTCCTGTATTCCAAGGAAAACCCATTATGCACAATACAATAATTACTTACAACCACACTAACAAACGCAACAACGCCAATAAGAATAAAGGGCCCAAAAAAAAAAAATGTGACCTCCGAAACAGTCTTTTGGGATTTTGATCCATCAATACTTAAATGATCACTCACAGCTGATTGTTAGGAAATCGAAAGGTGTCTTTTAGAGCCCATTAATCCTTAATTTCACAGAAAACGGACCTTCAAATTTCAGGCTTCTATAATTTACTGCAAAAAAGCTACAAAAAATTAATGTAGAAGAGACCAGAGTTGAGAATTAAACCTAAACAATAAGGTTATTATTGAATTTAGTGTGTACCTCCTGAAAGTTAAAGGGGAATTTGGCCAGATGACCCACTTGGACAATGATTTTGGACAAATAGCCTTTGACCATCATTAAAATGGAATAAAAAAATTTAAAATGTTTTAATTGATAAAATGACAAAATTGTCCTTCAATTTATATCAAATTATTCACCCAACTTCTTTCATTTCACCTTCTTCTTTCTTCTTCCCTTTTCCTGTGAAACCCTATTCTCCAAACTTGAATTCCAAACCCATCTTCTTCACCTTAATTTTCACTATATTTCAATATTACAAAAACTTTTCTTTGACTCTAGTTTATTTCACATTACTTTACCCTCTCTTTGGTACAAGTTAAGACAACAAAAAAGGTAATTTTTTCTACGATTTTTTTTTCTTTTTTGTTATTTTAAAATGTGATTTTGTGCTTCCATTACTGTAGTTTTATAATAAAAATTTGTAAAAATTGCATTTTTTTTTATGATTTCGTGATTTATTTGTATATTTAGTTTACTTTTAGCTGAGTTTTTTTAATGTGAATGGATTTTTGATACATTTGGGGTTTTGAAGATGATGGGTTAAAAAAAAATTCATTTACTGGCATTGCTATAAATCGAAATTGTGATATGTAAATGTGCTTGTTCTTTGATATGCCTTGAAACTTAGAGAGTTGCATTAATAATAATTTGATTTAAATAATTCGGCATTTTTAGGAAAATTCTTTATATTATGTTTTACTGTAATTCCTATTTTATGTGAGTTCTATTATTAAACTTTACACTTGTTGATTTCAGAATTTTTTCATATTATATTTTGCCTATTTTTACCACAGTACCCTTATTTGTAGATTGGAACTTCACCTACTAAATAATGTATATAAGTTTGCAATTTAAAATGTTGTGTTTCCCCTTGACTTTATTGAATTATTTTATTCTTTAGTTGCGTAAACGTTGTATCATTACGCCTACATTGATTATTACTTGATTTGACTTTGATTTACCTACTGTTCCAAGAAAGAGAACTAGCATTGAAATCGTTTAAAAGTGGAAACACACTAATTTTGGTTGTGACAGATATGGCAGG